CATAGATTTCATGAACATCAATATCAGATAATAATTTATTGAATCTGATATGATTAGCAAATGGTTTCCACTCTGGTTGAAGATTGTTGAGAAATTTAACATTTATCTTTATTACAGTTTTAGAGATTCCGTTCTTTGTTAGATCATTTAGCAGTCTGGTAAGCCTATCATAGACATCATCAAGGCTCTCACCATCTTTAGCCTTGAATTCTTCGTATGCTGATATGCAGTTAGTAATCTTCAACTGAGTTCCCACTCCAGAACCCATCATCATCTTTTCAATTTGAACCCACATGCTAGACCAGATGATTTATGGCTGTCAATATTGGTGTAAATGTCATTGGTCAGTGCTTGCATCATGTAGGATTTGCAAAGCACATCAGCATGGGCTCTTTCTTTTTCTTGAGCTGTATATCTAAATTTTTCCTTGATAACAGTCTGAGCATGTTTGCGTTCTTCTGGAACAGCAGGTGTCTCTCGGTAGAATACAGCAGGACCTTCCATCAAGGATTCCATAATCAGATCTCCTTCCTTCATTCTCTATATGAAATTAAGAAATCTATCTCTCCATTGATTATAGTCTCCGCGAAACAGCACTGGTGGCTTGGTGTCAGTACCAATAGCCATTGCTTCCCTTGAACTCATTTTATCAGTTTGTATGATATAGGATCAACTGCAGTTCAAAGTTTGTATTAAAGGATCAGTATACAAAAATATATCTGATAAATCTCAAACAAGAATATGCATGCATTCAACACTTAGAAAAATTAAGCACACAAGCTTATCCGAATTAGAAATCCGGTCAAGCTTATCCGGATTAGAAGTCCGGACAAAGTAGACTTAAAACTTTTCAACATCAAATAAGTTATCCGGATTAGAAGTCCGGACAACAAAGAGCTTTAAATCGCACAAACTATCAAGTAATCCGATGAGTTTCAAGACTTAGTCAAAATCAAAGCAATTAATGAAATTTTAATACGGATAATGCAAAACTCAATACGGACAAGGCGTAAAAATCAATTTGGATTAAAAATCTCAAATCGGATGATTTCAACACTTAGACAAAATTCCAAAATGAAATATGGACGTAAAAAGTCAACAAGTCAACTAGTCAAGGTCAACTAAGTCAACTAGTCAAAGTACGTATAAGTCCGCTTAAAATCAATTCGATCAAAAGTCAAGGATTTAAATCGATCACAACACAAAGTCAAAATCCGTTCAAAGAATCAAAGTCAAAGATCGGTCAAACAGTCAAAGTACGATCAAACACAACATTCAATACAACATAAATTGAAGATTAAACAGCTCAACCTTACACTTAAATCGCTCAGGCTATGACCGGATTTCAATTAAATCGCACAATACTCAAGATAAATCGCACAAAATTAGAAATGACTTACCAAGCGGATTACCTAGATCGCTCAATAAATAGCACACGAGTCAAACGATTTACCTCTTAATCCGACCAAGACTTACCCGGTTTAGCCTAATCCGATCAAACTCAATTCACACAATATTTCAAGTATTAAACCGTACAAGCTTTAAGCGTTAAACACCTAAATCGATTAAGAGTTAATCGGACTAAAATTCAAGCAAAAACACAAATTTCACACTTTTTCACCAAAATTTTGGATCAAAACATGAAAAGTTATGAATTTTGAAGAACACTCAACAGTATTCGAAAACTCAAAAATCGATCAAATCAGGTTCAAAACTTGTTTAAAATAAAAAACAGTGTGAATCAAAGTTGTTCTAAATCAAAATGCGAATCTAGCGATGTAAATCTTATCAATTAACAATCAACAAACAAGCGATTTAAGCCAAAATTCAAATCTAGAACTATGAACACTATGAACAGATGAAGAACATCATAAACCTAGATCGATCAATCCACTAAAAAGTTCGTGCAAATTGTTAAATCCTCTAATCAAACTGCTGCAGTCTGCTCTGATACCAATTGAAATATCCAAAATTCATACAAAATGATTATGATCTTCAAGAACTATAAGAACGAGATGAATAGAGAGAGTAGATCACCAAATATCTCATGAATTGATTGAGAGAGAATTACAATGCTAAAACTCAGATTACATAATTGATAATGACTTGCTAATGACAATTACAAAGGAAACTACTATTTATACTAAGGAAGGAATAAAGCTAAACTATTACAAAGCATGTAAAATTTGGAGAACTTGAATACAACAATAACACGCATACTCGAATCCAACAATACGAGACTCAAGGAATGTATGTTCCTCAGCCTGAGTCCCAGTCTCAATACGAGCACCCTATGACCCTGATATTTTTCCAGAGCATACATATGGTTTTAATGACTATTACCCCGAGTATGTTCCAGAGACACAACAAGTAGAAGAAGTGGTTGGAGTTGATGATGACGAGTTCATGTTTTCAAATTGGGTCTATCTGATATTGATTTCTCTTAAACAGATGAAGATGAAGTTGAACAAAATGTAGAAAAAAAAGTAGGAACTCCTTCGATTAAATCATTTGGTGGGATAAAGAATTATTTTGATATGCCTCCACCTCTTCCAACCCTAGAGCTCTTTATCACGCCTAACCATCCCATATCTTGACCAACCATTAGATCTACTTGCAAAGCTATTGATGTGGAAGATTGACTTGCAGAAAGAATATCACATGCGGAGAAAAAAACTTGCGGAGGAAATTCATTTGTGTAAGAATTTTGGTCCCCACCTCTTCCTTATTTATATAAATTCTAAGAGGTAACCCCACCTGCCAATTTAATATTGGTAGGTAGGGGTTGGGCTGTAATTGCGGACCAAATATAAATACGCTACTTTCTAAGATATTTCATTGGGGTTTCACTCTGGGCAGACAAGTGACACCTCCGCAAATTGCGAACTTGGGATATACCGTAAAATTTTTAAAAGTCACGAACAAGTTCCACAATTGCAGACATGCCACTTGCAGACATGGGTAAGAAGTGTATTTTTTTGTCATTTAGCTATACATCCGCAACTTGCAGACCTACCACTTCTGGAGGTAGTGACATTTTGGTAATTCATGGAGAGAAATGACTAAGAGGCAAAACCACTCCCTAAAAATGACTATTTTAATTAATTTCCCAATAGGTTTATCATATTGTATATTTGTAAACACCTTTTAAATTAAAATAATATTCATTTTGTAAACCTTTTCGGTTTTTATAACTTAGCCAAGATTGTCATAACAATTTTGGTAAACTAAATTTTCAGGAAAAAAACATACAAACTTTGTTCAACAAACCTTATTAAATAGAACCCTTATTTGGTTTATCCGATAACTGAACCAAAACCGGTTACGGTTTGTTTATCGAGTAGTTTGGAAAAAGTTGAAAACCAACAAAATAACAATCCTATGTATTAGTTGTTTATTTTTCTCTTTTTGTTGCTCATAAAATTGATATAACATGATGAGAATGTTCATGACTTGTCATGAGCCTCAAGTCCAAAAGAGGATTGTGGTAATGATTTGAGTTAGAGTTTTGTTTAGGTTTGATTCCAAAAAATATATCAGGTTCAAGTTTGATGGTCATTTAACAATTATAAGTCTATTTATAGACTCGAACCGAGATTGAATAACTCATTTATTGGCATGAGCAAAGGGCAGAGTTAAGAAGTCTTGAGGGGTGTACAGACGATCAGTGAGTTTCATGATGGTCAATGACGATGGGAGTACGTTTGAAAAATGTGGGTTAAAGACGTAAGGTCTAAATAAGTTTATATAGTTCCAACATTTAACATGTATTGTGTTAAACAAAATAAACGTCAAATCGAGAGCATTGGGAAGGCATGTCAGTGGGCCAACTCCCGATATCCTGATAACTCTCAAAATTATCCATAGATACAATATGAAAACTATGAGTTTTCCCCCATGATAATCAAGTTTCTATCCTTGAAAATGTCCAAATCCCGAAAAGGGTTCAAGATCTGATAAATAGGAAACTAAAAAAGATATGGATTCGATGTCAGCATGGATCTTCGATATGGAATATCTTACTCATGGCAAAAACCAAAAGAAACAAATGTTTTGGCCACAAGTGAAATACTGTGATGCAACTCAAGTAGAAGATGTAGAAGGACCGGCACCAGGAATGAAAATAAAATAAAAGGTCATTAGAAACGACTTAATGAAAATGCAAACAAGTCGATTATAACGCATAAAGAAGCACGCCGTCAAAAAAGAAATGGGATGAGTATGAAAGATGTTGAGAAAGGATATTATGCAATTTATGAGGCGATGGGAACAAGTTTAATGAATTGGTTAGTATTTAAAGAAGTTATGTGTAAAGATCCCAAGTGGGAATTATAATTACATCGTGACACAACATGTTCTCATCCCAAAATATGAAGTGGGTAATGAAGAAAGTGGTTGAAGCCCATCATCACCTATCTCTACCATTCCACCCTCTTCACATCTTCCTTCGTCGATTGTGCCATCTAAAAGTTTCATCGAAGGCAGATTTGAGAAGATCTAGGAGCTTCACTTATTGTTATTTATTAGGAGTTAAGACTTAGTGATCAAGCTTCAAGATCCCCTCTTTATTTTCTAAGGTTTGATTGATTTTCTACGTTTTCTCTAAAAACCTAGTAGGTAAGTATAAAATGCTTTGCAACTAGATACATGTCTAAATGCTTACCTTACTTACACACATTGGATAGACAATAATTCAGAAACAACTACAGTGGCAATAGTATTACCAGCAGGGACAATTAAGTTTTTCAACAAGCTAGTCATGGCTGTTAGTTGTGTAGTAAGAGCAGTATAAGGATCTATTTCATGAATGTTGTTGTGTTTCTGGGTACTATTGCTCTAAGATCTTCCTAGTGACCATTGTTGTTAGAAATTTTCTCCAAAAATCAAAACCATCATTATAGGTACCAGAAGTAAAGGCTCCACCTGTAGTAGCATCTAACATATGTTTAGCAATGGTATCAAGACCATTGTAAAATGTTTCTAGCTGAATGCTGTAAGGTATGCCATGATGTGGGCATTCCTTTAGTAGTTGCTTGTACTTCTCCCAAGCATCAGGTTCTGCTTTATCATTCATTTGTCTAAAGAGACAAATTTCATTTCTAAACTTGGCACTCATGGTTGGGAAAAATACTTTTTTAAAAACTTCTTAGTCATCTCATTCCATGTAGTGACTGAGTCTGGTTGCAAAGAGTTGTACCATACTTTGGCTTTGTCTCTTAATGAAAAAGGAAATAGCTTCAGCCTTAAGGCTTCACCGATAATTCCATTAAGATGGAAAGAGTCAGTGATTTCCATAAAATATCTAAGATGCAAATGAGGATCCTCATATTGTAATCCAGCATATTGACCATATGTTTGTAACATGTGAAACATGATGGGCTTAAATTATAGTGGGCCTACTATGAGAACCGGGTCCTTGTTATGCACTTCAGGTAATTGTTATGTGATTACTTGATTATGTGATCATGTGAATAACTGATTAATTGCTATAATTGATCATGTGAATACATGCTTACATGAGTTTAATATGTGAGTGTGTGTATACTTTTCATACATGAAAAATATGTATATGTATTATGCATAAAAAGTTATATGTATGCATGGGTTTATTGTTTGGTTTTGATGGCATGTGTGTGTGCATGCATGTGTATGCATGTTCACATGTATAAAATGTTTCTTCCACCGCCTTCCCTTTTTAAGGAAGGGTATATAAATGAGGAGAGTTTGGCAAGTAAAGGTTTTCTGCCATTTTTAGAAAGTTGACACAGATTTGTGAGTTGCTTGCTAATTTTGGAAGTGAGTCTGGGATTCAAGAAACAGATTCAAAGTGCTATTTCTCTTCTTTCAAATTCAAGTCTAAGGTGAGTTTTACTTTACCAAAAACAACCTTTGAATCTATTTTGGTTACTGGTTTTTATTGGCTTTAAGAATCTACTGGGGTATCATATGTTTCTTATGAAATTCCTTGTCCAATGAGGAGTTTAGTGGTTTTTATGTGTTGACCGGTAAAGAGCTTGTTGTCGGACAAGTGTTGTCCGATGAGGGCTCCTCACCGGCTAAGCCTTGGTCGGTGAAAAGTTTGATGACTTTATAGTGTTGATCGATGAGGCCTCTTATCGGACCTAGCTTTGTCCGATAAGGACTCATCATCAGACATTGTATTGTCCGGTTAGTTACTCATCGCTCACTATATTATATGAGTTTTTATGATTAATACTCTTAAGTGTTGACCAGTGAGAACTGTATCCGGATATTGAGTTGTCCGATGAGGGTATATACGGACAGGGTGTAATCGATAAGTATGTTTAGCCATTCTCAAGTGTTGTCTGGATAGTATTGTCCGGATAGGGGTTGTTCGGATATGTGTTGGTCAATGAAGGCAATCATGGCCCAAGTCTTGTGTTATAAAACTATGATATTTTACAAACGTTGTTTAGTCGGTTTTTAAACATTTTTATATTTTAAAAAGGGTATTTTGTATCTTTTAAATAAGATTTGTGAACCGAGAAAAGATACTGATGTTTTCTTTCATGACGTGTGTGACATAAGTCTGTTTTGAAAGAAATACTGATTTAAGAAACGTTTCTCCAGGACGTGTGTGACGTAAGTCCGTTTTTCCATGAAACCTTGTTTTAAATGTTTCTCCAGGACGTGTGTAACATAAGTCTGTTATGGTATGAAGCTATGTTTCTAATGTTCCTTCAAAACGTATGTGACATAAGTATGTTCTGCTATGGAACTAGGTTTCTCTAGAACGTGTGTGACATAAGTCTGTTCTGGTACGAAACCAAGTTTTGAGGTGGAAACAAGGGTGACATATCAAGGAGAGGTGTACATATGGATATAAAGGCGGCATTTGTGGGTGTGATTATTATTGTAACTCTTGTTATTATATCCATAAGGTATGATAATTCTAAATCAACATTTCTCTGTGACTTGATGATTTAGAAATATCGTTCCTATTGAAATGATTACATTGATGTTTGATAAAGGGAAAACAGGTTTCAGCCAGAGGCATTAATTGCCTATGATTTCAAATGTTTTTGATGAAATCCGAGCATTTTCAATTACAATTTATCAAAAGAGCAAGTATTTGACAAGACACATAGGAGCTCTAGTTAGTCCTCAAGATGGATCAGAGGGCCTCTGTTCGCATGAAAAATCTTTCAAGTGTTATTAGGATTTTATGAGCTAGAGGCTTTGTATGTACTATATAGAGGCTCTTTATCATGGAAGTTATATGTCCGCATTGTGCGTTTGACCTCTATGTCCGAGCGTTGTGTGTCCGAGCTCTGTGTCATAGCTCTGTATCTAAGCTCTTTCTTTTTAAACTTAATTGTTTGTATTTTATAAGTCAAATCCGTTTAAATATATTTTACAAATCGAGCAAAGAACTAAAAGAGCCCTGGTTATCTTTTATTATTCCTTTCTTTTGAACAAATGTTGGTCTAGTCGGATCAGAGATTCTGTTTGTCCCGAGGGTCTCTGGTTGAGTTTAGTCTTGTTAAATTTGGAATGAGTACAGAGGCTCTGGTTTGTAAGAGTATAGGCTCTGGTCAACTAGAGGGACTGGTTTAAGAGGAAGCTCTGGTTTTTAAGAGCCAAAGGAAGCTTTGGTCCTTAAGAGACAGAGGAAGCTCGGGCCTATTGAGACAGAGGAGCTCTGGCCCGTTGAGCCAGAGGAGTTTTGAGGCTTTGTGCTTAGTAAGAGATGCAAATTTCAAGAAGCACATGTATGTGTTATGGATATCGGTTTGTCTTATAATATGGGTAACAAGTTGAATGCTTTGCTGAAATATATTTATCTATTAGCAAAAGATGATTTTAATAGGTTTTGGTGTCTTCACCCTTTAATTGCAAAGAAGGAATTTTCTTACTAGACTTTCCGGTCTAACCTTCATTTTTTTATTTTGAAAATATGTATTGCGGGAACAGCTGGGTCTCGGGATAATAAGTGGAATGGAAAATATAATTATTTTTCTTATGTGCTTATCTGCTCTTTTAAAGATCAACCTGTTGACTGTTGTATTGAAGATATAAGTTGTTATACATGCGTGAGTGCAAGAACATTGTTTTGGAAATATTTGGGTTGTAATTTCTGTATATAAGATTTTGTACTAATGGGACCTTTGTGGTGTAAATTGTATTTCTTTTATATGAAGTACATGTTATATGCAAATGTGAAAGCATGGGGTGTTATAGAGGTAGTATCAAAGGCCGAGTTTAAGGGATTTAGATATTCAAAGTCTGATGCCTAGACTTAAACTATTATTTGCATGTTAAGGGGTCCCGGACGTAGATAGTACCACTGGGAATAAATATGATGGGTTCTAGAGGATAGTATGTAAAGTAAATTTGAATTACAAATGGCCAATATAATTAAGAATTTATAGGTACATATTTTTACTCGGATACCTTATTATATTTGGGAATGTGAATACGTGATATTTAATATTAAATATCTGCAGATGGCAAGTCGATCAAGAAGATCTAAACGAATCACCCGCCCCAATCCGGAAGATTGAGAGGATTCTTCTGATATCCGACTAATGTTTCTGAGAGTCGAGGCAGGGGAAGAACCAGGGGCAGAGGCCGAGGGAGAAGTCAGGTCAAAGGAAGAACGAGTCAGATTGAAATTCACCTGAATCAAGGAGAATCTATTTTGGGGAATGTAAACTAAGAGCAGGAATCTTAACCAGAATATATCACTCGGTATGTTCTAGATGAAGAAATGAGTAAGCTGAGGGAAACTCTGGTATCTATTATGGGCTTACCGGACAAGGTTGAAACTGAACAAGTTGGGATAAATCCTCCAGTTCCAGCAACAAATAGCAAAGAGGAAGACATAAAAATGTTTTTAACATGTAAACCCCCAACATTTTCGGATGAATAAATCTAGTGAAGGCAATGTGCTGAATAAAAGAGATTGAATCAGTATTTAATACCAGCAAATGCTTCGAAAAAGACAAGGTTAGATTTGTTGTTTCCATGTACAAATCTAGGCTTTGTATTGGGGGTGTAAAATCATCGGCTAAGCCCAATATTCTACGATCCATGTCTTGGGCAGAATTTATAAATAAAATTAAAGTACAATTTTGTTCCAAGACAGCGGTGAAGCAAATGGAGGAGGATTTTCTAAAGCTAGAACAGGGCAACCGATCTGTACGGGAATATACTCAAAAGTTTATTGAACGTTCCTTGTTTGTGAAACATTACATTTCATCTTAATCAAGAAAAATGGAAAGATATATATGGGGTTTGAAGCCCTCTATCAGAGAAATTGTAATAACAACGAATCCTTCCACTTTTCCCTTAGTTGTGGATGTTGCCGAAACAATAGAGAGAAACAAGAATCGGCAGGGAAAAGAGAAAGTGGTGGAGAAACCGAAATGGGAAGGGTCTTCAACCGGTTTCCGAAGACCCAAATTTATAAAAGCGGATATCGACCTATTCAACAGCCTACCGTTAGAGCTTGTCCTTGATGTCATCAAGTGTATCAAGGTAACTGTCAACTTGAGTAAAGGAAGTGTTATCGGTGTGGCGAGTCGGATCACTTGTTGAGGGATTGTCTTGCACCTAAAAGATGTTCCAGTGCAATTCACCCGATCATATCCGATGAAATTGCCACAATTGAAAGCCCCATGATTGACTATAGGAGGGAATACCCCAAGTACTCGTGGAAGGCCGAGCATACTGAGAGGAGGACAGGGAGGGGCGCGGGGCCAAGCTTTTCAGATGACCAAAAGTGAGGCTGAAACAACGCCAGATGTAGTAACAAGTACTTTTCTTATTAATTCTATATATGCTAAAGTGCTATTTGATTATGGTGCGAACTTTTCTTTCGTATCACCATCATTTATTAGGTGTGCATATATGAATTTTGTGCCCCTTGACAATATATTAGTGGTTGATACCTCTAATAGTCAAGTATTGTTACCTATGTGTTTAATAACTATATGATTGAAATTGAGGGGTGTGGGCTGCCGATCCTTCTGTTTCCTATGGGGATGAAAGAATTCGATGTTGTGGTGGGAATGGATTGGTTGGCAGAGAATCAAGCTAGTATCTTGTATAACAAGAATATGATCAGTATTAAATTGCCAGAGA